CCCTGCCCCGCTCCCCATGTAGGAGGGGGTGTTGGAGGCAGGGAGGGCCGAGGCCGGCGTGAATGGTGCGAGGAGCGGGCGCTGAGGAAGTTTGAAGTTTGGGGGTTTTGGAGGATTCCCCCCCCTCCCCTCTCTCGAGCACAGTGGAGGAGGAATGCCAAATCCGGAGAGACATGGGGGCAAGAAGGATGGGGGCGGCGGGGGGTCCTCGCAGCACGCACCTGGCAGCGGGAGTTCGAACAGCAAGGAGAGGCATCGGCTGGCCTCCAGGCACAAGAGGCATAAGTCCAGGCACTCCAAGGAGTCACCGCTGGCAGCCCAGGAGACAGCGGCACCCTTGGGCGCGATGATCAAGCCGCTGGTGGAGTATGATGACATCAGTTCGGATTCGGATACCTTCTCGGATGATGTGGCCCTCAAGCTGGACAGGAGGGAGAACGAGGAGAGGAAAGCGGACAGGAGTGAGAGGATACAGAAGCACCGGCACCACCAGCACAAGCGCATTCGTGAGCTGATGAAGAGTAAACAGGCAGAAAAAGAGAGGAAGTTAGAAAAGAGCCTGGAGGCATCCAGCAGGTCCGGGTCCACCAAGGAGAGAATATCGGGATCCTCCAAGAGACTTCTAGAAAGCGAGGAGCACCCGAAGTCACTGTCCTCAAAGAGTAGCAACAAGGAGTCTCGGTCAGCCAAAGCGCACAAGGAGAAATCCAGGAAGGATCGTGAGCTCAAGTCCAGCCACAAAGAGCGCAGTAAAAGCCATCGGAAAAGGGATGCCCCAAAAAGTTACAAAACAATTGACAGTCCGAAGCGGAAATCCAGAAGTCCTCACAGAAAATGGTCTGACAGCCCTAAATTGGACGACAGCCCCTCAGGAGCCTCCTACATCCAGGAGTACGATCTCAGCCCTCCCCGCTCCCACACATCCAGTAACTATGATCCCTACAGGAAGAGCCCCAGCGGCTCCTCGCGCCGGCAGTCGATCAGCCCACCCTACAAGGAGCCCGTGGCTTACCAGTCGAATGCTCGCTCCCCCAGCCCTTACAGCAGGCGGCAGAGGTCCATAAGCCCCTACAACAGGAGACGCTCCTCAAGCTACGAGAGAGGCAGCGGGTCGTACAGCGGGAGGTCACCGAGCCTTTGCAGCCGACGGCGCTCCAGCAGCCCTTTTGCCACGAAGCGGTCTGTGAGCCGAAGCCCCATCGCCAGGTACGTGCTCTCTGCGGTGTCTTCCCTGCCCTGGGGAACGGAGAAGTGTCTGGGGGTGGTCGGGGTGGGTCTGGGCCATGGGAGGGGTTTACCCCCTTCCTCATCTTGCTGGGGTCTGGGTCACTGGCCACCTAATTTGGCTGCGGAGTGATCTGTGTGGAATTGCTTTGGTCAGGGGTTCCTGGCAATTCCCTTTAAAACGGTGTTCACACTTTGGAAAACACCTCCCTGACTGGCGGTAGGCAGCGTCCATGTTGGCTTTCAGCAGAGAGGCCTAGGGCTGAATGAGCTCCTGGGGTTAAATTACACCCACCTCTGGAGATGGCCCCTGCAGAAGGGCCGAGGCTCCTGGGGAGGGGAATGGGAGCCGTTCAGCTCCTGATGCGGGATCTAATGCTCTCCCCTGCTGAGAAGTTCAGCCAGGGAGAATGTTTTCACCTCTTTCTGGAAGCCTTTATCTGTTTACTACGTGTGGAAACTTGATCACACTTTTCAGGAGGGTGGCTTGTTTTGAGTGTGTTTTGCTCGTTCTGAACTGACCTGTCTTTTCTCTTCCCTTGAATTCGAGATGACCACGTGTAAACTCCATCTTTTGAGACTAAACTTTCTTTTCTCAGTACTAGAGTTTCTTGCTTCCATTCTGGAATTGGGGCATTCTGGAAGGGCGAGCAGGAACCGGCTGTATTTTGGCTTAACTATAATTTTTGTCTTTTTTTTTTTTTTTTTTTCTTTAGTCGGTAACCTTGCTACAGAAGGAAACTATTATTTGAAGGTAGTTCTGTGTGTTTTACTTCAGATGTTCATTAATCATCCTGTTATATGCACGAATACATAGTCTAATGTTGACTTTTTTTTTTCCTAGCTTCAGCTTATGTTAAGTGAGTTTCCAGTTGTCACCACGGGTGCTGTGAAGCTTTGGTTGTAGCTCCATGGCAATTAAGATGTGACCTGGAATGTAATCGCTATAGAAATGCTCTGCGCTGTGTTAGCTCTACTGCATCCTCTGGTCCAAACAGGAGCTGCGAGCGAAGAGGCTGCCTCCAGAGCGCATTTATGTGATCAGCAGTTCCCAAAGAACTCGGGGCTTTTGGAATTCGGCCTTTGTTACTAGAGCTCTTCTCTTAACTTCAGGAATACTGTCTTCCGTAGCGGACTTGGAAAAGTGCCTTTGTCCTGTCTGTGAAAGAGGTGTATTGGTTTTAGCCCCCTGGAAGCTGTTACGTAGAACCTATTTATTCTGCTGTGATTTTATGTAGTGAAAATTTCCTTCGGGCTGTTTCTCCTGTGCCCTGTTTTCTCTCTGTATACCCGAGAGGTCCTATGGGATAGTCCTTGATGTCTGCCTTCTCCTTCCTCACAGTGCTTTTTGCCCTGGTGGCACGGCTCTTACACGTCACTCACTAATACTTTGGAAAGAGTAAGAATACAGTAGTAGAAAATGTACTAAAAAATGTACGTATGCTTCCTGATATAATTGTGTATTATGGCACCTGTTAAACGTCAGTGTTCAGCCCTAACCAGGGAGAAACCATCTGGAAACTGGACTGGTATACAAAGAGGTGGGTTTTTTCCCCCCAGGTTATTTCACTTCCCAGGCAAACCTGAAGCTTACTCTTTCTGTAAGTGGCTAGTCCCTTCGGACTTGAGAAATCAAGCGGTTATCTTTTCCTGATCTTAATTATGGGAGCAGCTTGGAAGCACTTTGTGCTGCTTCCCTGAACTTAAGTACCCACAGAAGAAACTTTTTAAGGGCATCTTTGACTTGCTGACAAAATTCTAGACCCCAAACCAAAATAGATTCCAAAGGTTACTTAGTGTTTACGCTCAGCTTGGACTGAGTTCTTTGCATCTCTGACTTCAGTTGATAACCTACTACTCTTCTCTCTTTTCTGGGCAGATAACTTACTGTGTGATACGTTCTTTTCAAGCAGAACAAAAAATATGGATTACAGCTTCAGAAAGCACCTGCCTGAAGTGATTCTAGTAAAGGGACTGGGGTTTAATGTGTTCTCTGTATCTTAGGCAAATTGTAATTCATTGTTGGTTTTGCTTCACTGAGCTTGCAGCCTGTATGGCGAGGCAGTTGGTGTAAGTTTATGGTCAAACATCTG